GGGGCCCGGCGTGGGGCGGCGCGGGCGCCCCCTGCCGAGGCTGCTGCCCGGAGCCGCGCGGGGTCTCGGGGTCCCTATCGGTTGTCCCGGGCGCCCCTGCCCGCCTGCAGCTTCCGCCGCTCCAGCGGCACCGAGCGCCCCCGCCGCCGTGTCGCGTCCCGGGGCCGCTGCTGGAGTTCGCTGGTGCCTTCGGGGTTCGCCGAGTGACCGGCTAAAGCCCCGACGGAGGGACCGTCCGCGGGCCTGCAGCGCCGGCCGTACGGGGCTGCAATCCCGGCCCCACCGCGCTGCAGCGCCGGCCCCGTCCCGCTGCCGCGGGGGAGCGGGGCTCCCGTGCCACAGCAGCCGCCTGCCGGGTCCAAGCCCTCCCCGAACCGAGCCGAGCCCCGGGGCACCCCCGGGCCCTTCGTGCCCATCCCACGAGCGCCCCTGTCGCGTCTCCAACCCCTCCCCCCCCCGCTCCCGTGGCGGTGATAAATGTAAAGATAACGTGGGTGAGGGCGCAGTGTCCCTGTGCGGGACCGGCGGGAGCCCGGCGGGAAGGGTGCGCCCTGGCAGCAAATGGGTTTGATCCCGTAGCGGGATTCGAGGGCCGCCTGTCCCCTGCCGCAATAACTTCGTTGTGGAGAGGACTCTGCAAGAAAGGAGGTCGGGGCGCGAGGCAGGAGAAAGGAGGCTGCCTATGTAATAACATGGAAAAGGTGCCGTGAGGAAGGTGGTATTTACGGCCAGCATGGATTTGAGTCCGCGGGCAGAAATTCTGGTTGCGGGGAAGCGAGATTAAATATTAATGTGTTAATTAACCCTGTAATCCTTCCCRGAAACGCTGCTCACAGCACCTCTGCTGCAAGGGGGCTGCTAGTCWAGAAAAAGAAGTTCAGCCTCCTGAAGGGTGAAGCAAGGCTGTGCACAGGGTGCCTGCTGTCGAGAGCAGAAAGGCAAAATCTGTCACTAGCTGCAAATGAAGCCTCTCGGGACTAGCTTGAAAGGGAGAAGGGAGCCCGTGAGCTCTGCTGCCGGTGCCCAGGACAGTAGCTGCTGTGGCTCGGGTTGAGCATCGGGGCATGAAAACTCTCCTCACCACCGCGGAGAGCTGCAGAAAGCGGTGGGGCTTCAAGGAGGGTTGCGTGGTAGTCAGGCACTGAAGCCACCACCAGCTTCGCAGCAGCAATAAAAAAATATATAAAATGAATGCATAAACTTTAGATCCAGACAAAAGCAGTTATGACATCACTTTAAAACTAAGGGAAATAACCCTGTACAAATCATTGTTCTATCCGTGCTCTATCCATAGGATTTTTGCTTTACAGCTAGAGCGAGGGGCTATGAAGCTTTGGTGATAGCTTCTCTCTTTGAAGAATGCCTTTATAAACTACCTATCTCTGACTGTTTGTGATCGTCCTACATAACAGAACTAACTTAGCCTCTCTCCAGCCTGTTTCATCACATTGCTCTGACCCCGTGGGCAGCACAGGAGCCAAGGAGAGCCGTGTAGCCTGCACCCAGCTGCCACCTGAGAGTTACCTGCAGCCCCGGCGGTAGCTGGAGGGAGAGAGCTCCAGGAACGGGAGCCTGCCTCTCTCGGAGGTGGTAAACCTCCTGTGTCTGCTCTCAGGCAGGTGTATGGTGGAGCACAACCAGCCTATTAGCAATTCTGCCTGGGGAAACGAAGCAATCTGTGGTAAAAGAAGGCTTAGTGTTGCAGGTATCTACCAGGCAGATACATGAAAGGGAGAACACCCAGGTTGGCTCTGGCCACGGTTGCCCATTCTGGGCCTGCAAGTTTGCAGGTGCCTTTTGACCCTGCTCCGTTGCCCTCTGCACTCCTTCAAGTACTTTGTATCTTCGTAGGGCAGACAGTTGTCTGGGAATCTGTCCAAGTGCTCAAATAAAAGCCCAGGACAGAGAATCAAATTTCTATTTCTGGGTTTGCCACTTAGCACCTATCCAATGTGGGGCAAGTCACTTGGGGCCAGATTCTTGAAGAGGTRGATTGGTGTGTCCTCTTCTTCTTGGATTCTTCTCTTGGTGACCCTCTTCAACTTCAGGTGCCTCCAAAATTTAGTTCCTTACTCAGCTGCCACTGAACTAGAAAAGCATGAAGTCCACAGCACCTTCCAGCTTTTTATGGGAACAGTTCTTACTGCTTTGCACACTTGGATGTGCCTTAGTTCTGATGCTGTTGAGTTTTGATGCTTTTGACTAACTCACTTAAGTGTTCCTCTGTCTACTTTCCCTGCAGGGTTCATTCCTGGACCTCTAGATGTAATTGGATTGAATCCAGGTCATTTTTTTTAATCCCTTTTTTTCTGCGGTTGGGGCATTTGGCCAAGTATGGACCTGAGTTTACCTGGGACAGCACCCTTCTAGGGTGGACGGAATGGCACCGCTCTGCTGATTTTTTTGTTCGTTTCTTTCAAGTCATTCTGTTGAATAGAAGATTTTAGCACAATTCAAGCAATCCCATCATTTAAGCAATCTGTGGTAAGGAAAATTCCAGCATTTCAGTTCATACTTTGGTGAATGAAAGTAATCTCTTTTCCTAAAGTGTCACTGGACAAGCGCTCCCGGGTAAGCGCCCAGGCTACAAAGCCAGAGAACCCAGCTCGTACTTGCCACAGCTTGGGCAGGATCACATTGAACCTTCAGTGTAAAAGTCTCCCAAGTCTCAGCATAGAATAGGGTTCAGGGGAAACTCCTCTGTCCAGGGCTTTAGGGGAGCCAGCACAAGCTGCTCCCTGCTAAACATTTAAAGATTCTATTCTTAGGTGCCTGATTCTTCTTCAGAGGTAAAAAGTACCCAAATCTCTTAGGAAATCTAAATCTCCATGGATTTTTTCACTTTGCACGAGTAGCCAGTTCTAGCCGGATCTGCCCAGTCTGATCCATTGACAATACATTGTTTTCCCTGCTTTAGGAAGAGCTGAGCCCTGACTGTAGTTCAGTCAACCTATGAGGATTCCTACCTGGGCTAATCAGTCTATTAGATTATCTGTGGACCTCAGATTTCCAGCTAAATCTAACAGGAGAGCATGAGAGTTAATTCAGTGCCGTTGTCAGGCATGTCATGATCCTAGGAAGAAAACCAGCATCAAAATGCAGTGACTAAAATGYTTAGAAATGCTAAATGATAAACATGTGTGCCATTAATCTGTGTGTCTTTCACAGAATCACAGAAAGGTTGAGGTTGGAAGGGACCTCTAGAGATCATCTAGTCCAACCCCCTGCTCCAGCAGGGACACCCAGAGCACGGGGCACAGGGCGGCATCCAGGCGGGTTTGGAGACCTCCAGAGAAGGAGACTCCACARCCTCCCTGGGCAGCCTGTGCCAGGGYTCTGKCACCCTCACAGGAAAGAAGTTCCTCCTCATATGMAGATGGAACTGCCTGGGTTTTAATTTATACCCRCTGCCCCTTGTGCTATCATTGGCCACCACTGAGAAGAGTTTGGCTCCATCCTTTCCCCTTGGATATTGATCAGATTGCCTCTCAATCTTCTCTTCTCCAGGTTAAACAGGCCCAGCTCCCTTCATCTTTCCTCTTAAGATAGATGCTCCAGTCCCTGYAGCTTAATTAGCTACAGTTGCCTCTCTGTGTGCCATAGACTCACTTCTCCATGCTTAAGTGCAGCAAAGTTTTAAAAGAATTAAGGGAAAACTTTCAAAGCTAGTGGCTTGAAGTTATAAGTTCTCCTGCACATTTAGAAGCCTAAATGAAAGCAATTCAGATTCCAAAGATGCTAAGTACCCCAGATCCCACTTGGATTTAGGTGATCGTACACAGATTGGGGCTTTGAGCCCCACTCAAGAGCCACAGAGGAGAACTGACCCCTTTGGGGTATTTACCTCCCTCCCAGGGACAGCTGAGGAAGCCCCAAGAGGCAGAGCTGGGGCTCTCCCTTTATCCTAGTGTGGGGTTAAACTGTAGCTGA